TGGCAAGACTATGTGTAGGTTTGTAAGAAACTGTCAGATTGTCTTCCAAAGCAGCTGTACTGCTTTTGCATTCCTACCAGCAATTGGTACTGTATGTTTTAGTACCAATTGCTGGTAGGAAATGCATTTATCTAACATGCATTTTGAAACTATTTTCTTCCAATTTGTGGCTTATGTTTACATTCTCTTAACAGTGTCTTTTGAATAACAGAAATTTTTGTTAAAATGTATTTTATTGATTTTTTTACAGAGAGGAAGAGAGAGGGACAGAGAGTTAGAAACATCGATGAGATAGAATCATTGATCAGCTGCCTCCTGCACACCCCCCACTGGGGATGTGCCTGCAACCAAGGTACATGCCCTTGACGGGAATCAAACCTGGGACCTTTCAGTCCACAGACCTACACTCTATCTACTGAGCCAAACTGGTTTCGGCTGAATAACAGAAGTTTTAATTTTAATAAAGTCCAACATCATTTTTTCATTTTTAGATCATGCTTTTAATGTTATATATAAAAAATCATCATCAAGCTCTGGCCGGGTAACTCATTTGTTTAGAGTATCCTCCCAATATGCCAAGGTTGCAGGTCTGATCCCTGGTCAGAGCACATATAGGAATCAACTGTTGAATATATAAATAAGTGAACAACAAATTCATGTTTTTCTCTCTCAAAATCAGTAAGTTAATCCTCATCAGAAGGTATTTTTTTCGTTGATTTTTTAGAGTGGAAGGGAGGGAGGGTGGGGGGTGGGCATCAGACAGATTTGGGTTAGGATCTGACTACCCAACTCATTTGCTCTGCTTTGTGACCTCAGGCAAGCCTCCAGAAGCCTGTGTTTCCACAAATGTAAAATGAAATGATACCCATTCAAGCCCAGATGAAATAAAATGAAAAGCTCAAAATATAGGGGGAAAATCATCTCCAAACCAAAGGTTACCTAGATTTTTTATATTATCATCTAGAAGATTTATAGTTTGTGTTTGATGTTTATATCTATGATCCATTTTCAATTAATTTTTTTGGACAAGCACATGTGGTTTTCTAGTTATTCCAGCACCATTTGTTGAAAAGATTAGCCTTTATTTATTGAATTGCGTTTTCATCTTTGTCAAAGATCAGTTGACTATATTTGTGTGGGTCTATTTTGAGGCTTTCTATTCTATCCAATTAATCTATTTGTTTATTCTTTCACCAATACTACACTATGTTGATTACTGTAGCTTAAAAGTAAATGTTGTAGTCAGGCATTTATGAAAAACCACAGCTAATATCAAACTTATGTAAAGACTAAATGCTTTTCCCCTAAGACACAGGATGTCTGCTCTCACTACTTCTATTCAACATTATATTGGAGATTCTAGCCAGGATAATTAGCCAAAAAATACATTCAGGTGAAGAGAAAGAAGAAAATCTCAAGGAATCCATACAAACTATTACAGCTAATACATGAGTTCAGCAAACCTGCAGGATACAAGTTAAACATGTAAAAATTACTTGTATTTCTACACAATGGATCATAGATATAAACATCAAACACACTAGCAATTAATGATATTTAGAAAAAATCCTTTTATAACAGCATCAAAAAGAATAAAAAGGAATAAAATTAAAATGTAATATATATACTACAAAATGACAAAACATTGTTGAATAAATATGTCCTAAATAAATGGAAAGATATCTCATGTTACAGATCAGAAGACTTAATAATTTTAAGCTACAATACTACTTAAACTTATCTATAGATTGAATGCAGTCCCTAATAAAAAGAAAACTCAGATTTTTTTTTTCACAAATTGAAAAGGTGATTCTAAAATTCATATGAAAATTCAAATGGCCTATAATAGCCTAAAAAATCTTGGGAAAGAAGAAATATTTAGAGGAATCACATTTCCCAATGACACAAATGACACAAAGCTACAGGTACCAAGCAGTGTTATCCTGGTATAAAAACGGAGTTATGAATTAATGAAACAAAATTGACAGTCTAGAAATAAAACCTTATAATAATATTTTGGGTCAATTTTTGACAATTGTGTCAGAACAATTAAATGAGGAAAGATTAGCCTTTTCAACAAATGGTGCTGTGACAAATGAGTATCAATGTAAAAATGAATGAAGTTAGATCTTTTCCTGATAGCATATGCATAACTTAACTAAAACAAATTAAACACCTAAATGTTTCAGATAGAACTCTAAACTCTTAGAAAAAGATCTAGCTGTAAATCCTTATGCCCTTGGATTATTCATTGTTTTTTAGATAACACCAGTGCTCGCAACAAAAGATGAAAATAAATTGCATTTCTTCCAAATTAAAAACATTTGTGCTTCAAAGGACACCGTCCAGAAAGTTAAAAGGTAACCCACAGAATCAGGGCAAATGTTTTCAAATTATATATCTGATAAAGGGACTAGCATCCAGAATCTATAAAAAACTGTAACAAATCAACATTAAGAGACAACCCAATTAAGAACTGGTGAGTGATATGAATAGCTATTTATCTAAAGAAGATGTGTGAGGTGCAAATCAGCACATGAAAAGGTGTTCCACATCATTAGTTGTTAGTCTTTAGTTATTTAGGGAATGCAACCAAAACCACAATGAAATATCACCTTACCTCCACTAATATGATTAAAATAAAAGAGAGACAACAAAAAGTGTTGGCGAGGATGTGGAAAAATTGGAATCCTCACACACATTCTTGGATTGTAATATGGTACAGCCGCTTTGCAAAACCATTTAGCAGCTTCTCAATATGATTTAGCACCATTACTCCTAGGTATAGAAATAAGATGAAAAAAAAAGAAAAGAAAATATAGTTCACATAAAAACTTTTACATGAACATTCATGACAACATTATTCCTAATAGCCAAAAAGTAGAAACAACTCGAAGGCCCATCAAGTGATGAATGGATAAAATGTGGCATATTCTACAAATGAATTTTATTTAGCAATAAAAGGAATGAACAACAAAGATGAACCTTGAAAGCATTATGTTGGATATTCTAACAGGAATGGTGAAGACAGCCACAAAAAGCCAAATATCATATGATTCAGCTTATAGAAATAAATATTCATAACCATAAAAAAAGTAGATTTGAGGTTGCCAGGGACTGGGGCTGCAATGAGGAAATGGAAATTAAATGCTAATGAGCATAGGATTTCTTTTATGGTAAAATTGAGCGTAGTGATTTTTGCACAACTATGTGAATACACTAAAAATCACTGAATTGAACACCTAAAATTGTGGCTCTTATGGTATGCAAATTAGATGTCAATAAATCAATTATTTTTAAAAATGGGGGTAATACCTTCTGCTTCATAGTGCTATTGGGAAAATTAACTGAAGAGTTGTGAAACCTTTTGTTACAAAACTAGGCATCCAAGTATTTGGTGAAACTGAAAATAAATTTTACCTGCTTTCAATTTTGCTCAGAATTGGATGTAATATACTAGCACAGTAAATGTGACAAACAGATCTCCAGGGTCAGAAGCAACTTTAAATGCCTGCTCCTTTTGTGCCCATACATTGAATAAAATTCTGGCTCATTCACAAAAAGAGCTAGGACAAGATAGACTTTGCTCTCTGCTTTTCCTTTCTAGACCAAATAATCATTTCTCCTCACAGATTCTTCAACTTCTATGCTGGCAAACAAGATTCTTATCCACACAATCTCCTTCACTAGCAAGCATAGCTCCTTCCTCCCAGAAGATTTGAGGTATAGATCTCTTACATCAGACTTGAGAAAAAGTGCTGAGCTGAAAGCAACATTTCAAAAGAAAAGAAAATTTATAACATCATCCATAACTGACCCTATTCTGCCAGTGTTTTTGTTGGATATTCTGACAACTCAAGGCTTACTGGATAATGGAGCCAATTAACTTTGAGCTCTACATAAAGTTTCAGATGTTTTTAGGACTCACAAGCTTTGGAGACCATGACTTTCTGAAAATCCATAAGAACACCGAGATGAACTCAGAATCTGGTCCTGTGACAAAAGTCTGTCTTCAGGCCTGTTATGTAGTTGTGCCTACCACAGGTAGGCTGGCTGGGGAAATGGCAAGACTAGAAGCTCACATTTACTCTCCCATGTCAACTTGCCACATATATGATTGCACAAACTGCCCTACTTAAGAACACAGTTGTCACATTCTACTATAATTTGAATCATGGCAAAAATTAATGTTACTTTATATATAAAATATATCTTATATTACATTTATTCCAATAGAAAACTAATTGAAATATTCCATGTCAGGAAGAGTACATCCCTCATACATCCAAAAAACTGTCACTGTTCTATGTTTGAACCTATGTTTATATCCATCAAAGACATACTATGTGCCAGGCTCCACTAATATAGAAATGGGTAAAACACAGATGAAATTCTCAAAAGGAGCTCCATCTTTTGGCAAAAAAAGTTATACCGTAGTATGTTAAAGGAAAGAAAATAGTGCTTTGTGAACACAGGGTACAGGACACCTGCCTGAATCTGGGATGTCATGGCGGGGGGAGGGGGAAGGTGTAGAGAAATGTCTGCACTGATTCCCAAAGATACTATATGAAAGGTAGATGGACAAAGGATGTTATGGAACAGCTCCTCAGGTAAAAGAGTAAAATGTGTGTATTTATAAACATTCAGTCTAGCTGGAACCAATTATTGAGATTGGAGCCATGAGATGAGTTAATTTACAATGGATAGGTAAGAAGGATTTATATTTGGCAAATACATGCACCCATCCTAAATCAGTCCCATCCCACCGAGACTGGTCATAAGACTAAGCAGGAAACAGTTGGACAGGGAAAAGGCCTTATTAGGCTTCTTCAAAGGGGCCCCTTGGGGAACCAGGGTTGCCTTAAGAGAGCATAACTTCAGAGGAGCCTCCAGCCCCACCCTTGGGGATTAGAGTTCAGCTTCTGGTCATAGTTAAAGGAAATAAAGGAAATAAATTCCTTCTGCCCACTCTCCCCCACCCCCCAAAACATTCAAGAGTCTCTTTAACAAAATGATTTATTTGTAACAGCCCAGTTCCCATCACTTCAATACAGCACAGGAGTTGAAAAAGAGTTATTCTGCAAGCATCCTGCAGTCCAAGGTAGAGCTCCATGCCCCCCAAGGCAGCAAGCCCATCTCCTCCAGAGTCCCATGCCCAGAGCCAAACTGAACTTGCACAAACAGGCAAGCGTAGAATGAAGTCAGACTTCAACATGATGCATCCTTCCCCACAGATCTTTAATCTTCCTCACTGCAATCTCTACCCGCACAACGAGGCCAACTCCTAGCCTCTGAGACACCAGAGAGCTTTCTATATGAAGTATTTAACAGGGGTTTAAGTGTTACATAAAGACAATAACCTGTGAAATCTAGTCTTCCATGGGAAGGTTAAAATGACTCCCCTATACATAATCCTAATGAGAAATGACAGCTCTTTCTTTCTCTTCCCCATAGATGTGGGTGGTTTTGAAATGATTTTGTCTCAGACAGCTCCATATTTCCCTAGTGGTCTTATTGAAGGCTGTTCTCCTCACCCAAGGACAGGAAGGAAACTCAGATACTTTTCCCAGGTCCAGAGGCTGAGAGGAAAAGCTCCAATAATGTAGGAAAAGCCATTCCTCTGTTTCCCTTAAAGGATTTTTGTGGAGGTTATTGCTACAAGTTTTCTAATATATCTGGGAAAAGTTAGTTTAGATTTAGATGGTAATCCAAGCATAGAGGCAGGCAGGATTGGTTACCAGTTTCTAGAATTTAGGAGGCAAGAAAGAGGAGCATAAAAAATCTGTTTGCTTTCTTCACCCCAAATATTCTAGAGAATCTCAGAAGATGTACCACTAGAATGATTCCACCTTTACCAGGTCTTGGTGGGACAATGCCTAAAACTGTATCCATAATGGACTCGTGACCTTTTTAACAGAGTCACCATGAAAAGACAAGAAAATAGAGGGCATATCCAAAGGCACATCTTAAGCGTTAAGGGCTCTGATTAGTGGTCAAAACATACTGTTTGGTATCAGACTGTTTTTATAAAGTGAGATCATAAGCAGGGAAGGAGACTTAAGTAACAACACTTAAGGCAAGAAATAGAACCCATGGTTTAGCTAGAGGATCACTGCAGCTTTAACGTTGACATTTGTATCTTTATTCTAAACCCTACTCCAATTTCTTGAGAAACCCGAGCTACCTGTGTCTGTGCTATCACCTGCATGTGCAGGCCTGGGCAATCATATCCTCATACTCCTTGTACAAGATACTCCCATTAGCCTCAACCATAAGGATGCTAATGGGAACATACTTATAAGGGACACACGAGGGCCGAGGGACACTCTGGTTCACCAGCTCATTGACAAGGTTCTGGATGATGGCGTGATTAGGAGAGTTGAGACCATAGTGTAGTACCCGAGGACAGGCACCCTTACAGTAGTTTGGGGTATAGAGATTGGGAGCAATGATCCAGTGATCCCAGCCCAGCTGGTGGAAACTGACTTGGAAATGGTGGAGGGAACACTGGTTACTTTCAGGCCTATCATGTTCCTGGGAGGGGCCAGGAATCTTAGATGCAATACTGCCTGCTTGCCGTGCCCTACGCAAGAGAAGAGAAGAGTCCCTTTCCATAAATTCCTCCAGGCCTCCGGGTAGAAGTTTGGCCTTCTGAACACTTTTATGAGTGTCATTGAAATAGAGTAACAAGAAGGTAGTGTCCAAGGATGAAGTGCCATGCCACAGGAGCTCCTGACCCGCACTACCTTTTTGATGCTGACACATGAAGCACAGTCGTAGGATCCGGTGCCTCTTGTGATTCCGGAGTCTTTTCTGAACGTGTTGAGTGACATCCATTTCTGTCCAAGCTTCAGATAGTAGGGAAGGTTTTGAGGAACCTCTTCCCAAGGAAGGAGAACAGTTGGTTGGGCTTTTCTGGACCCAGGGTTCCACATGGCAGGAGAGCTGGAAGCCAGCTAGTTGGAGTTGATGGTGGTAAATCACAGTGGCTCTGACTAGTTGGTAGGCTACCTGGTTTGGCCTCAAAGGAAAGTCCAGGGTCTGTATGTGCCGAGGGCCTGCATAAGTAAGAGGAAACAAGAACGGAGGATTAACTTCTTACCCCTGAGCCTGAAACTCCTTTACAAACCTCAGCACACACAGACAGCTGTAAGCAGCCCTAAAATTAACCCATGATCACAATAATAGCTATTGTTTATTGAGGATTAGCTCTTTAACCTACAATAGACTTATGAGCTAGTTATTATCCCCATTTTACAAAGAAATTGACTCAGAGAAGTCTATGCCAGAGGTCATACAGCCAGTGTGTGGTACAATAAAAATTTGAGCCCAAGTCACACCCAGCTCTATCAATTACTAGCTGGGTTACATTGAGTAAGTTACCCTAAGTCTCAGTTTCTTCACCTATAAAATGGGTATGTTAATAGTACTTACCTCATAGGATAGTGCTATTAAGGAAGATCATGTTTGTATTTTACCCAATGCCTGGCACCTGGTAAGCTAACAGTAAAGGTTAGCTAGGGGGTGTTGGCTGTTTTGCTTGGAGGAGGGAGTGTAAATCCTGTCTGTTGTCATCTTTGAGACTAGCAAAGGCCTAGGTTTGATATAACAATGTTCCAAAGGTTTCCTTGAAGTTGATGAGTATCAGCTTTCCCTAGGGAGCCCTGCACTTTAGGAACCCACTACTGACCTGAACGGTATCTAATGAAGATGTTTAAAACAGAATTAAGCATAATGAGAACAAAGACAATTCCAAAATATATGTTACCAAAATCCCAATGTGGCAACGTGATCTAAACACACACATACACACACACACACACACACACACAGACACACTCACCCCTGCTTGGTAAACAAGGATATTGGGGTATAGCATTTAAACACTTGCGAAGTTATGAACATGCTTTAGAATCAAAAAGACTTGAGCTCGCCAGGACCGGTTTGGCTAAGTGGATAGAGCGTCGGCCTGCGGACTGAAAGGTCCCGGGTTCGATTCCGGCAAAGGGCATGTACCTTGGTTGCGGGCACATCCCCAGTAGGGGGTGTGCAAGAGGCAGCTGATCGATGATTCTCTCTCATCGATGTTTCTAACTCTCTCTCTTCCTCTCTGTGAAAAATCAATAAAATATATTTTAAAAAAAGACTTGAGCTCAAATCCTGCCCCTGCCACCCACTGTCCTTGTGACCTTTGCAAGTTAACCTCTCGGTGCTTTAGTTTTCCTTATCTTTAACAATTAGGCGAATTGCTCTATGACAGCTAGTGATAGTAGCTGTCATTAAGGATTAAGTACAATTGATATTCACTCAGCCAGAGTACAGCTTGTTTCTGTCCTGAGGTTTTGTAAATGCCCCCAAGTCAGCATTCTATTCTCTTTGCCTTATTTTAAGGATAAAACATATAAACGGCCCTCCACAAGATTGTATATGGGTATTTCTCAATTACGTTTTCAGTGACATAACAATAACTGAAATAAGAGGTGTGTTTTTTTTTTTGTTTGTTTGTTTTTTTTGTGGTAAGATAGAAGTTGACACATCATTCAATTGCCCTGGGGCCTTGGAGATATTCCTTAGGTAGGCCCAAGGCAATTCATTCTTAAATTGGGTCTCTAAATGATAGCAGGATTGGAGCCAGCTTTCCCCAAGTTTGCCATTCTTTGAAAACCAATCCTGAGAAAACAACCTCCCAATCAGGCAATGAAACCTGACAGTAAACTCTGATCCTTGACACTCTTCCCCAAGACTTCTCTCCCTCCAGGATAGTATGGAAAGATAACTCACCTTTGAGGGGCTTTGCTACATTGGCCAAGGGCCTCACCAGCCTCACCATGGTTGCCCCAATGGTGCGGTTCTCCCTCGGGTGGCCATGCGCATCAGCTGAGCGCTGGTACAACTCCAGCATGTACCGCATGGGGCGCTCTAGGACCTGTGGCTTCCTCTGCTGCTTGTCAGGGGCTTCTTTGAGCAGCTCCTGAATCAGGGGCAAGGTAGGGGCTTCAGCCAGGGGTCCAGTAGAGCGCTCCCCTACCGTTCCCATGTGGACTCTGTGTTCTGTGAAAAGCACCAGTCCCCAGAGAAGAATTCTAATGCTGCTGAGGAGGACCATCTTGAAAAGCTTGGTGTTCAACAACGTATTCCAGCCCAAGCCCAAAGGATATCACTCTGTCTCTTTCCTGTCACAGAGGTAATTGCATCCTGGCTCCACAACCACAAAGGAGAGGGCAAGAAAAAAATGAAAGGCAGGTAAGCCCTATGTTGCTTCTTCTGGGAGGATCTTCTGGACCAAATGAGGTCTCCTTACTTGGCCTCTTTGCATAAAAACAAATGAAAATAGCAGGTGGGACAGGGCAGCATGCCCCTCCTGCTCTCCAGAGCTGGTAACAAGATAGCACTTATTTGGAGGCTGAGGTAATTTAAAAGGAAAAGTCCATTCCAGGACCTGCTCCCTTACCTTATCCACTAGGATGGAAAAAAAAGCAGTACTAGCTAGTTCTGCTACACAGCTTTAAAGGAAGTCTCTTAATCAGTCCTTAAAGGGCCAGAGGACTCCTGCTACCGCCCTACTTCCACGCAGTACTGTCTCTAGTGCAGCATTTCCCAAAATGCGGTCTGCTGATGACTTGCAGTGAAACTATCCTCTGTGGCTGGTAAGAGTGCAGACTTCTGGGTCCCCAGAAATCTGAATCTTAGCAAATATTCCAAGAAGTTCCTGGAGACAGTAAACATGGAAACCACTGTGTGAGTGTGGCTGGTAGAGCTTGAAGAAGATGCCTTAACAGCGGTTCTCAATCTTGGCTGTATATTAGAATCACCTGGGAAGCTTTAACTATTAATATCAGGGATGTCTGGGTACCATCTCCAGATATTCTGATGTAGTGGATCTGGGTGTTACCAGAGCATCACAATGTTTTAAAGTTCTGCAGGTGATTTTAATGTGCAGCCCTGTTTGAATGCCCTGACTTAGAATTTTCTGGTTTACCATGGAAGGCGTTGAGATCCTGAATGTGCTTCATCAGAAAAGGCTGTAGTGATAGAAGATAAATCTGTGGAAGTTGGCTGGGAGCTACCTAGCTTGGATGGTTAATGGGAAGCAGCGGGACTGGGTCAGTTTAGTTAAGGCTGCCCTAACCAGGATTCTGCAGAAAAATGATAGGTGGAGTTCTGGTTCTGTCTAAAGAGAAGCAGTTTGTTGGGGTTCTAAGGAGAAGGTGGGGGAGGAGGTCAAGCCATGGCTCTAGGAGATGATGCGGCAGGCCTGATTGGTAAGAGGCCTTTACCTCATACCCAAAATATCTATGGATGGGCATCATTATGGTGAAACAGGCATGGACGTTGTAGTCACACTATACTCCCCACCATGTGCTAGTTCTGGCCTCATGAGCTGTGGAGTGGCAGCCAAGAAGCTTCTTTGTCCTTTACCTTATCCACTAGTGCAGTGGTCGGCAAACTCATTAGTCAACAGAGCCAAATATCAACAATACAACGATTGACATTTCTTTTGAAAGCCGAAAACCAACTTCTGTGCATGGGCCACAAAGTTTCTATCGCAATGTACGTGTGCGCCCGCATGTGATATTTTGTGGAGGAGCCACACTCAAGGGGCCAAAGAGCCGCATGTGGCTCACGAGTCACAGTTTGCCCACCATTAGGATGAAAAAAAAGCAGCACTAGCTAGTTCTGCTTCACACCTCTCCTCCCTCTTCTCTACCTCCTCCTTGAATTGTGATGTTCTTATTAACTGTAATTTAACTTCTCCAAAGCAAATCTGTTCATTTCTCTGAGCCTCACTCTCCTCACCTGCAAAATGGAGATAATATGTTTTTTTCTCACAGGTTGTTAGGAGGATACAAAGAAATAATCTATGCTCATTGCACAAATCTAATTAGACACAGGATTATGTCACTCAACATGTTGGCTACATGCTCAAAGTGATTTGTTCCCTTTCCTTAGTTTTTCTAACATGGTCTTGGTCCCTGGCATGTACACATGCTTTGCGAAACAAAAAGCCTGGGCTTATGGGTCTTTTAGGTCTAGACTCAAATCCCAATTGAAAAACCCATTAGCTGGGTAACTTTAAGCAAAGTTTCTCCCAGTGTGAGTTTTTTCTTTTCTTTCTTCCATCTGAACTGTTAGTTCCTTTAGAAAGTTGTGAGAATATTGCATGCATTTGGATTGTGTACAATAATATACAAGTAAGGGATCCAAACAGATGATTCACAGTAGGCAAAACCTGATTGGCAAGAACATACAAAACGATGTAATGGAAATCAGGAAAACGCAATTTAAAATCACACAAGATGCAATTCCACACCCATTGAATTGGCAGCATATTAAAAGGGTGATGCTATTAAGTTCAGGTGAAGATATAGAATACACGTAACTCTCTTACATTGCAGTTGGGGAAGTGACTTGATACAATCACTTCAAAGAGCAACCTGCATTATCTCTAGTAAGGCTGAAGATGTACAATTCAGCCCTACCAATGCTAGAGCGGTAGCTTTTAGAAATGTTTGTCTGTGGCTCACAGCAATAAATACATTTTACATTGCAACCCAATACAAGCATAAGCACACACACTCACACATATGTACTTGAAGTAAACATTTTCTGAAGCAATATTTATCCTTACGACATATTGGGAGGGGTAATCTATCATGATGGGGTAAGAACACGGCTCTGAAGCCAGAATCCTGTTTAAATTCAGATCCACCGTTTATTAGGTTGATCTTGGGGCAAGTTGTTCACCTTCTCTGTGCCTCAGTTTTCTCTTTTGTAAAATGGAAACCATAGCTTCTCTCCGCTTCAATTTTCTAACATGTAAATGGGATTAATCAAAAGATTTTCCTCAGTATTTTTGTAAGGATTAAATTTGTTAACACACACGTAAGGCATTTAAAGGGGTGGCTGGCACAAAGTAAATTCTAGACACAGGTTCATTGTTACTACGTTTGATGCAAGTTGTGCTCACCAGAAAGCGAGGCTTTCACTGTTGTGCTAGTTCTGGCCTCATGAGCTGCCAAGAGGCAGCCAAGAAACCTCTCTGTCCTCTTGGTCTGCATGGCCCCTCCCTCCTCTCTTACCCGCTTCTCTGCTGCCCCAACATTCTCTTTGGCCCTTGACCTCTGCCTGTTACCAATTTAAACTTCCTATTTTTCTATTCAACATAGCTAAATAAAAGAACAAGTTGTCAGGACAACTATCAAAGGGTCTATATAAGAGTTCTGGGTACAGTTTTCTTTGATGTTTTAGTGGTATTGGACTGGGATTACATCTGTCAAGAACATTTTTCTGCCATCTCTTAGTAATGCGATTTTGACATAGGATCAAAAGAAGCAAAAAGAAACAACATATTACACTGGAAAGAGCGTGATTTGGGTTTGAATTTCTGGTTCTGCCTGTTATTGGTTGTTGCTTAACCTCTCTGTTTCTCAACTTTCTTAAGTGTAAATTGGGGATATTCTTTACTTTCCAAGGCTGTGGTGAGCTTTAATTTAGATAATGTATATAAAGTACCCGACACATAGATAAATGGTCAAATTTATCATTAACAGCCTATGATTTAAAAGAATATATAAGTTTATCTGACCGAAGGGAATATCTGGTCAGCATTCATCTAAAGTTCAACTGAATTTTTATTCCATCCTTCATACTCTGAGGAGACACAACTGATTGAATAGATCAGCTTTCTTATTTTCAGGAAAAGATCCTTAAAGCAACCCCATTCTTACCACTAGAATGTAAAGAAGCCAATATGATTATTTCCTTGAAATGCACTCTGGTGGGCCCAAAGGATGATATTGCCCCATACCCCCAGAGGACGGCACCAACTTTCTTTTTAGCCTTATGGTTACAGGTGTGGGGTGAGGTATAGGGGCAGGTTATAGGTGAGTGGAACAGGGTCAACTAAAGGATATTTACCAACCCTTCCTGCTTTAGAAAAGCCAGTATGTGGCAAACAACTAATTGCATAAATTGGACACTGTAGGAGGTGATTATTGACATACCAAAAGAGGTTCTTGAAACAACAAAGTGGGTCACCACAAGTTGCTTTGAGCAGCAGGCACCCTTAAAATGTGGTGTGGGTTAACTTGAAATTCTAATGTGTTGGGCAAAATGGTAAAGTGCATGAAATTTATAAAGGAGTGAACTTGTATCTAGTTTTGGGGAGGATGGCTATTTTATAAAGTAGACATGTATAAAGGATTCCTTCTTTTACATTATTATAATTCACATTTTCTTGCAATTGTATTCATTCAACAAATAGCTAAGTAAGCACCTTCTTGTATTAGAAATTAAGGGTCTAGGGCTATAGCTAGACTATGTAGGTTCAAATTCCAGCTCTACCACTTAACTAGCTTGGTAATTTTGGACAATTGACTTGATGTTTCTGTGCCTCAGTCTCCTCATCTCATAAAAATAAGAATAACATTGCTTTAGAGGACTGTTCTGAGGATTAAATGTGTTAATGTACATAATAAGTATACAGTGTTATAGACACTATATTAAACCTTGATACTACAGAAATTAATATGACAAGTCCTCATCTTCAGCACTCCCAGGCACTATACTAAGCACTGAAGTAGGTTGGTAGATGCCAAGATAAAATTTCTATTTCAAGGAGATAACTTTCATAGTGACATAAAAGATAGGAACCATTTCCTCAAAGCCACGGCATTTTCTCTGATTACTGTTCTGAGTTCTTGAAAAATGGACCTATTTTCTAGATATGTTGTTTACAAAATCATCTTCTATAAAACAAAGATTATAGGGAGGGGTGGGTAAAAAAGGGGAAGGGATTAGATGTACAAATTGCCAGTTATAAAAGCAGTCATGGGGATGTAAAGTACAGCATAAGGAATATTGTCAATAATATTATAATACTATAGTGTCAGGAGAGTGTTAGATTTATTAGTATAGTCACTTTCTAAGTTATCTAAATATCTAATCACTATGTTGTACACTTGAAACAAATATAATACTGGTATTGTATGTCAACTGTATTTGAAAAAGAAAAAATATTATAAAAAACAGATTATGGTGTATTTTTAGAAATATTAACTTGATACTAGACTACATCCTTTTATATTCTATTGTATTTCATTTTATCTTCATATCAACTCTGTGAGTTAGGTATTGTTACTCTCCTTTAAA